TATACCCCAAAATCTTCAATTACAGGGGCATAAAAATCAATGCATTCTATCCTGCAATTTGCATTGACCTAATAAACGTAACCTACAAAACTAAAGCTTTGTTCGGACAATACCCTAATAAAGCCTCAAGCATGCATTCCAATCTTCTAAAAGCATTGTAATGTCATGTATATTAAGTAATGTCTACGCCATGGCGTCATAGTTTCAACTGCAGAGATGTGCCTAATTTTGTTGAAAATAGCTTGTTTTGGACATTCAAATGTATATATTTTGTTGCCGGATACACCAAAAAATAATAACTGTCTTGAAATATAAGCGATATATAAGCTTGGGTCAAAAACAAGAGAGGGCTCATCAAGCCTCACCCTCTATTACATTTTCTTACCCTCACCCAAATATCGCTTATTAAATATTTTAAGACAGTAACCATGTTTTTTTTATATATATAAATGCCTAAAAACGAGGGGGGGGGGGGGGCTTACCTTTCAACTAAATTCAGTCATCATAAAGGGTAGTCTATTAAAATGTCTTGTTTAATTCCAAACAACCGTCACAAAGGAATCTCACACTATGGTCATGAAGAGTTTCACCTGCAGGGAAATGTAATGCAAATTAATTGTTAATCTAAAATTAGTATGAAAATAACAGTATCATATATTATCAAATGTTGAATAACGCTGTTATTCTTCCTCAATTAATTTTCTTTAAAATATATATTATCAGCCATAGTAATGTTTAAGTAATTAAAATCAGGACTTATTATAAAAACTGTATATTTAATGCGCACAAAAAAGTGTGCTGTTTCTCAATTTATTTCTCCATGTTTTTAAAATGTCTAATCAAAATATTTAACTAACTGTATGTTCCTAACATATTCTTTCACTGTTTCCACTGCGAAGAAGGCATTTTTGTTGTTGCTGTTAATAGCCCTCCTGGTCATGATTTGAACAAACTTGAATTTAGACCACATGAGGATACTTCCAATCGTTAAAAAAAAGACCAATCATAGCTTTTCTGTTCTTAAGAAGATGTTTCCTGTATATTCCCATTTAAAGCTTAAACCTATAATTGTTGACCCGCCCTACCCGCCGGGGTCATGATTTGAACAAACTTGAATTTACACCACCTGCAGATGCTTCTATATTACATGTAATATGACTAGTCATGGCTTTGCTGCTCTTGAAAAAAAATGAAGATTTTTTTTCTATATACAATTGTATTATTTCTATGTAAAACTTTGATCTACCATTGTAGCCCCAACCTACACACAGGGGTCATGATTTGAACAAATTTAAATCTTAAGTACCTGGGGATGCTTCCATATTAATTATGATCACTCCTGGCTTTGTTGTTCTTAAGAAGATGACTTTCGAATATTTTTCCTATATATTACTAAGTAAAACTTTGACCTTCCATTGATGCTCCACCCCACCTCCAGGGGTCATTATTTGAAAAAGAAAATTGAATCTACACCACCTTAGGATACTTTCAGATAAATATGACCAATCATGGCTTTGCTATTTTTGAGAAAAAGAATTTTAAAGATTTTCCCTTTATATTCTTATATATGTAAACTAATTAGACTGTCTTTTGCAGACCCACCCTTACCCCCGAGGGTCATGAATTGAACAAACGTGAATTTACACTACCTGAGGATGTTTTCACCTAAGTTTCATCTTTCCTGGACCAGTGGTTCTTGAGAAGATTTATTTTTAAAAATACCTTTTTAAAAAAATTCAAATAATTTTTAAAAATATTCAGACATTATGTAATAATATATTCTAAATGCGTAAAAAAGGGTGGACATTTCAAATTACTTCTTAGAGATATAATCTCGAAGTTTTTAAAGTGCCATATAATATATATTAGTAATTCACTCAATTCACATTACTTTATTTCTGTGTTCAGGAAAAGGTTATACAGAAAAAATCTTTAATCATTAGGAGTGACTTCCCTTGAAAACAATAAAAAGAGCTAGAGTCAACAATTTACAATATTTACATACATTTTCTGACTTCATCTCTTTAACAACATAATTAAAACTGTATAATTAAACAATAAAATGCCCTTTTTTTTGGTCCATTTTTTATTTCTTTTTATGTTTGCAATTACTACACAGTTATACACATAAAGATATAAAATTTTAATTTTTTGCCACCGATCTCTTTGATCTTCGGGGGATATCCTTTGATGTATGTAAAACGTCCTATATGGTTCATTTCTTGACCGATTTTTAAACTTTTAAAATTATGAAATAGATCTTTCTGAGAGGTTTCCAACGGTATATTTCTTATGATTTTTAATGCACTAATTTTCGCGGCCTCCGATTGTCAATGTAAACAAGAACATTAGATTTAAAAAATTTCCTTCAAAAAATTTAAATTGTAACAGATAGAGAACATTCATGTGTTTTGAAACCTCTCAGAGGTAATAGAGTGAGATTTAAACAATTTAAAGTTTTCAAAAAAATTAAAGTCATTCCAAATGTAAAATCAAGTACTAAATATGTATTGTAGCAGATAGAGAACATCATAAAAACCTCTCAGAGGTCAAATAGAGTAAATAGAGAAATCATACCATGTGTTTTGAAACCTCTCAGTAAAAGTTACTAAAAGTCTTGAATTTGGGAGCCAAGAAACTATAATATATTGTGTAGAAATAATTGAAATCGTGTATACAGTTCTTATATGCCCACCAGCCAATATGAAATACAGCCTAGTCCTATAGCTGACGATAGGTAGATATCCCTTCTGGGCCCAAAATTGGAAATAAAATTATCTTATCTATACTGAGCTAGCTCCAATTGTTGTTAAAATATTGCTGTAAAAATCTTTAAATCAGAGTATGTGTAGCGTGAAACCTAATAATATGATAACAAATAACAGAGGCGGCTAAATCCCCTCAGTTAACTTTCTGAGGACCTGGCAGGTTCTATATATACAAATATGTGATTATGCAATATATACAAATAAATGTTAGACTACTTGTCTTTAAACAATTATATACAGAAAATCAGTGATACTGGCTCATAAGAGATCGGCTCGGCTCTTATGGCTCCTAAAGCTCTTTTCTTTAATACTGGCTCTTACAGCGCAGTTCATACAGTTCGGCTCTTTCTTGTTCCTGTATAGTACAGCTCTTGCTGGCTCCCACTGTCGCTTTTAATGACAAACAATATCTAAAGCCAGGAAAGACTTGTTCCGTCACGTCTGAAAGCTTTAAATATTTTTTTATTATCATTAACTAAAAATTACCTATCGTTACAGATGGTCTGCTAGTCTTGCCGCTTCAGCATCAACTTCGCAATTGAATTAGTTTGCCGCTTACACAGTTATACACATAAAGATATAAAATTTTAATTTTCTTTAATACTGGCTCGATTACAATGTAAACAAGAACATACAGTTTACTTTCTTGAATTTGGAGCCAGTAAACTTAATATATTGTGTAGAAATAATTGAAATCGTGTATACAGTGGCTCCCACTTATATTTACCAGCCAATATGACAAACAATATCTAAAGCTGACAGGAAGATCCCTTCTGTTCCGTCACGAATCTGAAAGCTTTAAATATTTTTTTATTATCATTTGTTAAAAATTAAAAATCTTTAAGATGGTATGTGTAGTCTTGAAACCTAATCTGTACTTATAGTCTCTGTGCTAAAATAACGCCACCTAGCGGAACATGACGAAAACAAGATTTGTACCGGAATATCTTTTCCCGGATTGTCTCATATGCAACAGCTGTTCAATAAGTAAATTGTACTAAACTTTATGTTTTTCATATACTTACAGTCTTGTCTTATGAATGAAAGCTCAGGAAACATCTATAGCAGGCACAGACATCAACCGTGTATTTTACTATGTTCATAAACGCATTAGACGACAATTTCATTTCTTCCCGCTAAATGTCAAACTGTTTAATTTCGATAACAGCGCATACGTCGCTGATAACTTTTTTGTCGGAAATTTGTTTAGGGGAATTTCATTATTTATATAAATTTTAAAAATCTTTCAGCGAGGAATGCGCTATATTAGAAATATCGGCCCAAAGTTCAAAAGGGAGGCGAAATTCCGGAAAAAATCAAATACATACATAGGATTGACTTTTATTGTGCAATACCAGTATCCTGTTTTATCAAAATTGTATAACATGCGAATAAAGTATGTGGTTGGGATGAAACGGAATCACAAAAAAATTAAATTAACAACACTTGATTTTTCACTAATTAACTACGCCGTATTTGGTGGAAAGTGAATTTATTTCTTTGTAATTTAAAAAAGGCTATTTTTAATGTAACGAAAGCTCAGATCGTCCGCATTCCATACACAGGTAAGCAAACAAATTTTACCTCTAGTGTTAAATGGAACAGCGTAATCGAGACATGGTGACCTAATTCGTTTCTCTATAGAGGAAACGATCAGCCGTATTTATCGATCTTGGTAGAATAGAAATAAAGTCCTTGTTGTCTTGAATGATGCAGAATAACCTCCGAGGTCGAGAAATGTTGTTTGAAAAATAAAAGCCGAGGCGTTAGCCGAGGCTTTTATATTTCAAACAACATTTCGAGGCCGAAATTCTGCAACATTCACGAAAACGCGGACTTTATTTCTTAAACAATATACAGTACAGCAACACATTGACATTATGGGAGGCGGTGGATATCATGTATTGAGCTCATTGCTCATTGCTCACAGTACCTCTAGTTTTTATAATTCCTCCCCGAACCCCCACTTTCTTTTTTTTATGCAGAAAAATTAACATTCATCAATTCTATATTTATGCTTAAACAAAATTCCAGGTAGATTTAAGAAATATTTTATTCAGAATACTGAACAGACTGGGCAACAGGCAAACTGTCTATAAATCAACTTAACTTTCTATACAAAGTCATGGGTAACGAATATAATGAACTGAGTTTATATAAAATTTATATTGCCGAGGTCACGGAGATAACTTATTTTATTTTTTTTATAAAACCAAACTTGTCCCTTCTTACTTGGTTTTCTGTAAGGTTTGTTGTCGATGATGTAAATGTCCCAGTGTGGATGTAGACCTATACAAGATCTCACGATGTCAGGTCTCGCTTCTCTCCCGTATCTCCAAAGCCACGTCACGTGATCTACACTGTCCTGTGATCTTCCTCTGTAATGTACAGCATCTCTTCTTAGATCCATTAGAAATTCTTCTCGTTCATCTTTACTCATCTCAATTTTATTTTTTGGGATGTTTACTGTAGAAAAAACTATATTGTTTATAATAAACATTTACATGTACACTCTAATACTATTATGCATATATAGTATAGTACATAACTTTGGCGCAGGTGTGTATAATGTTCTGATGTTCAAAAGGATTTTGCGCTGGTCTGATCCGGATCCTCAGATCTATACATGTAAATTAATCTGCAAATGAACGGTGTCATAGACTGTTGTAAAGGAATGTATTCAATTCGAAGTCTTGACAGAAATCATATAACGAACTTGGAAACCAAAGTTTGGATATGACGGAAAACAAATTAAAACAAACACATTCCTTTACAACAGTCTGTTACCTGATCTTTAAATTTTATTTTAATAATTACGTTTCAATGGTAAGTCTCCCGTTTATTGCATTATTAGGTTTTTCCACCTTTCTGTGTAAAGACTTACTGATTTTCTTCTGTTTACTATTATTCTTCCCTTTTATTCTTATTTTTCTTCCGCTGATATTTTTGTTTCGATATTTATTAAAATATACCTTTTGTTCATCATCAAGTTCATTAAAAGTTAGGAACGCATATGAACTATGACCACTTTCGAAGCTATAGGCCCTTTTGCAAGAAATGCTTATTATCGCTACTCCACCGAAACCTACGGTGGCTGGTATAGGACATGTTATGAGATTTGTTAATTCGTGGGTGCGAAATAAAATTCGTGGAAACGAAATAAAATTCGTTGGAACGAAATAAAATTCGTTGGAACGAAATAAAATTCGTTGGCACGAAATAAAATTCGTGGCCACGAAATAAAATTGTGCATTATAATGTCACATTTAGCTTCTTCTCTTGTACTGTATGTTTTTCAAGATGAACGGACTTATTATTATCATTCAATTGGACTGAGGCAAATAGATTTTTGTTGAAAATCGTTATGGGTTTTGAATAATATGCCTGAATCATCCTTAACTATTGAAATTTGATTTTGCCGGCAAATTGCATGAAGAGCTGATGAAAGAATAAATAGTATCAATTCTGATTTTACTAGTTCATCGCATTTTTTTAAATTAACAATTACATGTACCTTTATTGAAGTGAACACACTTTCATTTGTATTAAACAGTTGAGTTTATGTGAACACAATCATGACAATATTTGAATTTTGCTTTCATTTTTTAAGATGTCACGTTCCCTATAATAGGGGCCTACTCTGCCACTGATTGTTAAATAAATAAACATTAATTGATTGACTAAAAAAACCTTACAATTACTAGGGGCCAGATATCACCTCTATGATAAAATGGTAATGGTACTAAATCTAGTTTCCAAGACATGGTCCTCTAGTTTTTAGCCCTACTATATAATACTATACGAGTAAACATCGGGCTTGGGAACATCGAAGTCACCTACCCTGGGGTCTGAAATTTTGAGGGTGGGGTACTAGGGGCCAGATACTACTTCTATGAAAAAATGGTGATGGTACAATCTCTAGTTTCCGAGATATGGTCCTCTTGTTTTTAGCCCTATTATATAATACTATACGAATAAAAATCGGGCACAGGGACATCAATGTCCCCTACCCTGGGGTCTGAAAGTTTGCGGTTGGGGTACTAGAGGCCAAATACCACTTCTATGAAAAAATGGTGATGGTACAATCTCAAGTTTCCGAGATATGGTCCTCTAGTTTTTAGCCCTACTATATAATACTCTACGAATAAACATCGGGCTCGGTGAAATCGAAGACCCCTGTCCTGGGTTCTGAATTTTTAGGGGTAGGGTATTAGGGGCCAAATATCACTTCTATGAAAAAAATGGTTCTGGTACCACTTCTAGTTTACTAGGTATGGTCCTCCCGTTTTTAGCCCTACTATATAATACTATACGAATAAACATTAGGATCGTGGGCATCGATGTCCCCTACCCTAGGGTCTAAAATTTTAGGGGTGGGGTATTAGGGGCCGGATACCACTTCTATAAAAAAAATAATGATGGTACCATATCTAGTTTCGAAGATATGGTCCTCTAGTTTTAGCCCTACTATATAATGCTATACGAATAAACATCGGGCTCAGGGACATCGATGTCCCCTACCCTGGGGTCTGTGAGTTTGGAGTTTGGGAAATAGAGGCCAGGTACCACTTCTGTGAAAAAATGGAGATGATACCATCTCTAGTTTCCGAAATATGGTCCTGTAGTTTTTAGCCCTACTATATAATACTATTTGAATAAGTTTCGGGCTCGGGGACATCGAAGTCACCTACCCTGGGATCTGTAATTTTGAGGGTGGAGTACTAGGGGCCAGATACCACATCTATGAAAAAATGGTGATGGTACAATCTCTAGTTTCCGAGATATGGTCCTCTTGTTTTTAGCCCTATTATATAATACTATACGAATAAAAATCGGACTCAGGGACATCAATGTCCCCTACC